ATTAAGAATGATGTTACTAATAAACCAATTATAAAATTTTATACATGGGTACACATGTGCATTCTCAGTCCCAATTTATCAAGGCTGGGTTTACATCATTATTCTTTCACACTGTCTTTAAAGAATTCCAGTAAAGCACTGTCATTAAATGTGACTGTGTTCCAGCTGCCTGCTACTGTGCCTGAGGATGCAGTGGAAGATGGTCCAAAAGCCTAGGCCCTTGCCACCCACCTGGGAGACCCAGCTGGAATCCCTAGTTCTGGATGCAGGCTGGAACAGCCTCATGCATTACAGCTGTTGGGGAAAGAATCAGCAGATGGAAGATATCTTCATCTCTGATTTTTTCTTGTTCTTCCTCTCTCCCATTGCCAATATAACTCTTTCAAATAAAAAAAAATGAATCATACAAAAATCAGATATTTTTCTAAACAACACCAAAGTGGAAATCACAGAAAATTCCAATAAAAAAAAAAAAGCCTTCTGTGAATCTGTCTTGTCATTTCACAAATGACAGGGATAAGCCAAAGGATTAAGGAACTAACTTGAGTCTGGAGATTCTCAGCCAGACGAGCTCATTTCACTGCCCTGGATCTAATCTTCCTCATACTACACCAAGAGGCCAGAGAGTTGTTACAAAATTTTATGAAACATTCACAGTAAGATATCACATTCTAAATCTTCCTGATCATCTGATATAAAATCTGATATAAAGAGATCAAGTTTTCTGGCAACATTTACTCCATTAATGATAAGGCTTGTTGTCCCAAACAGCCACACAGAAGTTTGGGGCACAAGAAAAACTAACCTATCCTCATCCATCAGAACATTTCCACTTTGTTTTTAAAATGTTCCTGAAAGTACTACAACAGCCATGTTCTTAAACTCTCATCTCCAAAGATTTTAGCAGTAACAGATATGTGGCCTTTGGACCTGCTTTGTGGAAGGTAAGCCAATCATTATCCAGTCTCATTGGGGTCAGACCTGGAGGTTTGCCTCTGCTGTTTCCACTGTCAATGAGAATTCACTGAACAGCTCTGAGGATACGTGACAGTTCTTGACAATGAGCTTGTTTGAAAGATGTAAGCTGCAGCTTTATGTGAAGGGTTCAAAAAGTTAGTATTTTTAGCTGTTTCTCTTTTCCTAGAATTTCATTTCTATTCCTCAATAATTAATACATTTTAAGCAGAAAATATAAGATTTAAATAAAATCAGTTTATCTTATTTCTACTTGAAACAAAATATTTCCATCATGATCCACTTCATCTTACACAGAGCTCAATCCCTAGGAATGAGAGGATGCTATTGAATTATGACAGATAAACTGTAAAAAGTTTAGAATTAAAAAAAAAGTCCCAAAATTTAAAAAATGTTGGTAGCATCTGAGAATTTAGGGCACACAGATAATAGTTAAAATGAAGTGTAATTACCATCTAAATGTAGAATATGAAAACATACAGTATTTATAATTGAAGACAAACCTGAACAACAGAGCAATCAGAAAAAGCATCATTAGACAAAAACATTATTGTTCAAGCAGCATGGACAATGTAAAAAGTAACACCGCCAAGATCATGAGGAAAAGATCATGGATAAACATGTCTTTCACAGCTGAATTTAAACGATTCATCAGTTACATATAAAATTCCATGTGCTTGTTTTCAAACTTCATGTTATGTTTCACTGGTCTCTTCATATTGAGACAGGCATCATGTTTAATTTTAAATCTCACCATTTCACATAAAATGCTGTTTCCTAGACAGACAATGTTACTGCTTGTTATTAAAGGTTTTTTTTTTTCTTGAATTTCACTTTATTCTTACATATGTAAACTTCCGGGACCACCACCCTGTCAAATCCTGTATGTATATCTAAGTGAAAGATTTCACTAGGCTCTCAACAAGTTTGATTCTTCACATCAAATCTATATTTGTTCAATCATATTGTTATTTCATAGCGTCTAATAAAATATCAACAATTGCTCTTCTATTGATGTTATTTTCAATGTACTTTGTCTATCCATCCCCATAGCATAAGAATTACTCCAGATTGTGCATTTGAAAATATATGTAATTCTTTTTGAAACAGTAGTAACTGCATGTGTGTGCGCATGTGTGCGTGCGTGTGTCACGGAAGGGGTATAGACAGACAGGAAGACTGAAGCAGAGATCTCGCTGCTTCACTTTCTATGTGCCTATAATGGCCAGGACAGATATCCTGCCATTTCAAGATGTGATTGCTGCAAAAATCTCCCCTTCCACTCAGACCTTGAATTCCTCATGAATTAAAATTAGGCAATGAGGAGGGATGATTGGCAAGATTCTTGATAAAAAAAAAATAATTACCTAGCATGGCTGCCTTGGTCTCAGGGACCTAGTGCTTGCCTAGACACTGAGCGTTTATATTTAATATATTGTATAAAATTTGACGGGTTGAAGGAAAAAAGCTGGAAAGCTGGTAAGAAGCTAAAGTTGGCTCCGGCCAAGTTGCCTTCCTCTTTGATCCCTTTGTCTTCTGGCTTCTCCTTTTTGGTTTTTCTCCCTTTCTGTGATATCTTTTTCACTTTGTTTTCACTCTTGGCTTTCTTAAGTAAGGAAAATGCTTGTGGCCACCTTCTCCTTCCTCATCAATCTTAAGACTCTTCTTCACAGACAATGCATCTATCAGAAGGACACACAGACAGATGTGCACTTGTTGGGGTGGTCTCCATCCTAATTTCCACTTTTACAGTGGAAGGCATTTTCAGGAGTAATCTAGACTTGTACCGCAGGCAAATTGTGGCAACATGCTTGGCTTCTCAAGCAGCCAGGGTATGATCTTTTACAGATTTTCATTAGTGTTTTGGCTAATCAGTTTGGAAGGATTCACATGAAGCTTAAAATCAGGTCCAAGTTATTTGAAGTAGTCACTGTACAAAAACTCATTAGGGATCTTTGTGCCCAGGGCCATAGCTGTTCCTCATATTCAACACTGGGAGATGTTACCAATGGTGTAACCCACTTGCTCTCAACATCAGCATAAGCAAGTTAAAGTTTCCAACAAATTTCACACATATGGTGTGTCCTTTGTTTCAAACAGAAGCAATCTAGGCTACACCTTCATATAGAAATTCTGAGATCATTCAACACTGAAACAGTTCCATTATCTTGGCCATGACCAGTTTGGTTATGGCCTCAAAGTACTTGTCTTCAATCTCATTGCCTTTTTCCAAAGCACAAATTCCATAGGTCTCTAATTCTTGGGAAGTAATCTCTGCTTTTATCAAGGGACATGGTCATGACTGGGTTTGCGGTATAGAGGCTTTATCTATGCTACTGTCAGGGTATCAATATGTGGTACCTCTCTTGATATAATGATTGATGTAACAGAAATCAGATGCCTTGGACTTCTTAGCACAATGCAGATTCCCAGTTGAATTCACAATATCTGTCTCACTCTAACTAAATTTCATAGAACTTTTCAGAGATAGGGACTATAGGTGAGCAATGAATTGTCAGCTGTGCAATAAGGATTCAATGGATGCCTTTGTCTATAATAGTAGTAATAGATTATCCTCCCAATGTCCTCACGTTCTCTTCCCATCATTCAGGTCTGCTGCCCTTCCCACTATACCCCCTTTTCAATTATTCATATTACATTTTCTCCATTAAAATTAATTTTAATAATGGTCCATCAAATTTGGTATCTTCTCCCAAAAAAGCTTTAAAAAAATGCTTAGTTTATACAGGCTACTGATTTTGAAGTTGTTGAAATCTATTTTACTTATTTGCAAACTTTTAAAGATTTATTTATTTATGTGAAAGAGTGACTCAGACAGAGGAAGAGAGAGAGAGAGAGAGAAAGAGGTTTATAATATCTTATTTCATTCCCCAAATGTTTACAATTGCCAGAGTTTTGCTGGGCTAAAGCCAGAACTTCCTCTGGTTTTTCAGCGCCTTAGCAGGGAGCTGGTTCAGAAGCAGAGCAGCCAGTGCTCAACAGGTGCTCTTGTAGGATACTGGCAATGTGTTAGGTTAATCTTATCATACTATAATACTGTCCCATAATTTTTACACTACTTTCATTAGTTATTTCATCCACTTCACTAATCATAGTATCATTAATATTGCTAATTAAATTTTACTACTATTTACTTTTATAAAACTTAAACTTCACTTCTGATGTTTTCTTCAAGTAGGTTAAGTTTAGATTAAATATTTAAACATATGTTAAATGGTTTGATGTTATTAATTTCCAGTTGCATTGATTGCATGCAGAGAATAAGGATTTTTCTTACAATATGTATTTATTAACACTAATATTGGTTTTTTTGTTTTTAATCTGGAGTTTCAAAAAAAACCTGGAGTTTCAAGGATTTTCTCGGTCAGTAAAAAAATTCCCCTTTGTAGTGTCATATAAATCCCTGTGGTGATTACTATTTCCATAATTCACTAATTTCTGAAAAAGAAAAGTAAGACGCTTAATTGCTCACTTGTTTTGCAATCTGGGAAGAAGACAACTGATCTTAAAGTTGCAATCTTTCACTTTCTGCATTCCACATGCACTTAAATCATGCGTGCATATTTTAAATAAGGCAACGTGAATTTGAGTTTTAAAAAAAATATTTTAGCAAGAATTTATTTTCTAATTGCTTTACAAATGTGTGAAGTCAAATGTTAGCATTTGTTCTTGGTGAATTTTGACATTGAAGGCTTTTAGGCATATTAACTTCTTAGTAATTTCCACTTTATCTTAAGAAACAACCTTTAAAACTTCTTTGTTTTTGCCAAAATAGGCAATACCCATTAATATTAAACATAAGAGAAAAATATCAAGTATTACTGAACTATTACAAATTAAATGTAGCTTAAAATACAAAATGCTTCTTTGCAAAACACAGTACCAATAAGAAGGATTTTAAGTTAAACAGTTTTAGTCTTTTTTAGTTAAAATAAGCACTCCAAAAATTATTACCTTATCTCAAAATGTTAACTTGTACGTAGCTTGAAATTAAAATAAAATACCTTTAGATTATATTTCTGAGCTTTATCCAAAATAGTCGGCACCAAGTCATCAGCAGGTTGTCCATTAGCATCGTTTGTATCTGGTGGATACCAAGACAGGGCTAGCACACCTAATGTCAATAACCAAAAGCAAAGGAAGGGAAAAAGATAGAAACATAAATGATTATAGGTAGTCAAAAAAAGTGTAGAATAATTTTTAATTTTGGTATTTGTGTTGCCGAAGTGAGCACGATAATTTTCAAATAGATAGAAACATTGAAGTTATTTTTCTCCTCCTTCATACATATGGTTATTTTATTACATTATCTAGTCAATATTTACCAATTTTCAGTAAGACATCAACAGTATCTCTTTAAAGTCAATATACTTCTATTTGTTTTAATTAATTATAATTACACATATTTCTGATCTAGAGTGTGATATTTCAACATTTGTATACTATGCCTGCTGAACGAATAGGGGTACTCATCATTCATCTTTTTTTGGTTGTTACTTTTTTATTTTATTACAGCTTAAAACTCCTTTGCTTCCTAACACAGATTATTATCAATTGATCTTCTGTGATCTAAGCCTCCTTTCATAATTTTGTTTATTTTTATCAATAAAGAGGAAGCGAGAGAAAACAAAGTGGCTACATATTAATACTCCTAAGTTTCCAGCCCTAAAATTTTTACTAACATCTTGCAGTAATGATGAATTTTTTAGAACTGATGAAACACTGTAGTGGATTATCATTAACTGCACCCCAAAGCTTATACTAGGGTCCACCCTTTTTGTTGTATAGATGAGTTCTGACAAATGCAGGGTGTTATTTGTTCATCATTATAATATCATACCGTGTAATCCATGAAACAGCAATGAATTTGACAAGAAAAGAAAGTATTTGAAATAAATGAAATGGAAAACAAGAACATCAAAACATATGGGGTGTAGCCAGAAAAAAAAAAAAAGAAAAAAGTATGGATCAGGTTGCTGAAATTACATTTTCCATGATCGTTTCCTTATATCAGAGAACATATTGTAGTTGTTCTTTTATGATTGACTCATTTCATTGAGCATAATGGTCTCTAGTTGGGACCACCTCATTTTAAATGGTATAATTTCATTGTTCTTAATAACTGAACAATATTCCATGGATTAGATATACCGCAGTTTCTTTAACCACTCTTCTTTGGACACGCATCTGGATTGTTTCCATGTCTTTGCTATAGTAGGTTGTGCTGCTGCTTTTTGTTGACTCCTGGCTTCAGCTAGGCCACAGCCCTGAGTATTGCTGCCATTTTAGGGAGTGAACCAACAGATAGAAGATAACTCTGTATTTATCTCCTCTCTATGACTTTCTGTATTTCAAATAAACAAATAAACCTTAAAGAAATGAAGATTCTTGATTTTAATACAATGTAAGAGTTTCTGGAAAAGAAACTCTATCACTATCACTCAGAGCACTATCACTTGTGGAATCAGCTCAACTGAAAAAAGACATGGAGAATGAAAATTTCTTATTCCAAAAAGCTAAAGAGAGTAAAGAATTCCTTGGCCAAAATGAAGGGATAACCAAACATACATACAATGATAACCAAACACAAAAACAAAGACCACAACATGAACATGATCCAGCAGAAACAAAAAGCAACAGAAATGAACATACACAAAATTCAGATAATACTATCACACACTCCCTTCAGAGTTCAATAAGTATAAAAGGCACAATTAGTAAAATTGACAAATTCAGAAAACTGTTGTTATGACATTGTTCCTATTTCATCTCCCAATCCATTATCCCACCTTTATGAGGTTGGGTATTACAGTCGAATGTCATGGAGTTTGAATGCATAGCTAATCATGTATTAGCTATACGACTGTGAGCAGTTAACTTCTCATGGCTTCTGTAGCCTCCTCACCAAAACTAAGGCTGATTTTTATCTTAAAGAATATACATGACATTTCATCACCCCGACTAGTATCCAATACATGTTGGTTCCTTTCTCTTTTTTCTTCTTTATTATTTCTTCAAAGTTAGTGCTCTCTCCCTGCCACTCTCCTCTACACACAGAGATTTTGCATATTGATACTATAATCTCCATTGCAATTTTTCTTAACTCTCATCCTTTGGTGACTTATATTCCTGTTCTCTCTCAAATAAGCACATCTCCAGTGCTCACTAGCCATATGTCACTGGACAGCACAGATATGGAACATTTTTTCATAGAAAGTTTTACTGGACAGCACCACCAAATAATCATAATTCACTAAGCACAGAAGCACCTTTTTTTGCCTGATGATTTATTTTTTCCAATCCTCTTTATAGTTATGTTTCAGCTCCTTAATGTATCAATCTTGACTTCCATATATCCATTTCTCTTTTTTTCTGTTGTGTATTTCATGTTTAATGAAAAAAACAGAATGAACATTCTTTTTTATATTTTTTGTCTCACCACACGCACATGAAAATAGATAAAAATGAAATAAAAAGCTAGCAATACCATCCTACTTGTTTCATTTTACTTATCTGTCATGCTTTTTAAGGCAATTTGTATATTTTTTTTTCTATAGGTAAAGCTTCTAAATTAAAATGATACAGGTTTGATGAAGCTTGATTTTTTATATATCCATTTCTAACACCGTTCTGTGCTCCATAATTGAACCACTCATTACGCCTGACTAAATAGGTTAGGAAACATATCAATGGTGATTCAATTCCTGAAGGTATTGGACATCTTACAATGGTAATAAATTCTAATAGCAAAAAAAAAAAAAAAAGATTCTAATAGAAACCACAAAGGTTTCTAAGTCAAATGAGTAAAATTTATAAGAGATGATAGTCCACATTTCTACTGAACCAATTACTTAGCTACTACACTTCTTAAAGTCCATCTTTTTAAATATGAACATACTAAATGCAAAAAAATGGCTGTATTTCTCATGAGATCTATTCATAATGATTTATCATGCACAGGACTGCAATGTAACTAATACATAATAAATTGGTGAAGGCTATTGAGATATTCTAATCATTTGCTTCCAATTTGTGCATTCATTATGAATGTGATCAGAAGAGAAACAAAGCCTTTATCTGTATACTTACGTGGATTTATTTATATACAGTGCAAAATGTTAAAATTTTTAAAAATGAAAGAATGAAAGAAAAAGTTGGGGAAAGAATGTCAAAAACAGATTGTCCATCCAGTGGTTCACTTAACAATTATATCTATTCTGAGCCTAGGACAGACCAAAGCCAGGTGACAAAGCTAGAGTTCCACCTAGGTCTTACACCTTTGTGGCAGGAACCTAAGTACTTGGCTCATCATCAGCTAACTCATATAACCATGGGCGTGAAGATGATCAGATAGGCACAGCAGTGACAATACAAACCAGGGGCTCTGATATGTAACAGGGGCCAAAACTACCTGCTTAACTTGCTGTGCTATGACATCCAAACCTACAATGATTTTAAAAGCAAAACTATGCATCTAAAAAGAATAGTAATTAAAAACATAGGGTTTGAAGTCAGAGCTGGAGAATCAAGTCCCAACTCTGTTCACTCCACAGATGAGTATCTATTGGCAAGATATTTTATATAATTTTTCCTATATATAAAATAATAGGTCCATATTATAAGACAAAATCTGTTCTATAAATGTATAAAAGAGAGGGTGTATTACACAGAGTAAAAACATCAAAATATTAATACAAGTAACATTTAATGAAGACATTTATTAAAGACAAAATTATAGTAAATAAATTTGGATAACATCTTTCTCACAGAGCTTGTGATGTGTTTTCTTATATACAGATTACTACTTTATACAGAGCACTTCCTAGGCCTTCTACTTTCTTCCTTTCTGTTTTGTTACTTTTTGCAAAAGTTTATTTTTAATTAACTTTTAAATCACAGTCTTAATACAGTACTAAATATAACATTCAACAAACAAAAAGTAGAAAAAGCATAGTTCTATAGGTGTATAGACAGACAATGGCTAAAATTAAGAAATCATGAGATGGCAATTTAATTCTTATGCATATAAGAGTTAATATATAATGTTAATATATAATATTAATATATTAACATTATTTAATATTAATTGATTTATATTATAATATTAAAATTAATTTATATTATAACATTAATACAATATATTAATATTATAATATAAATCCTTATATATACACTATTAGGGTATTTCATATTTGTGTGTGTGTGTGTGTATATATATATATACTATATAATTAGTATTCTATATTGAGTACCACATATCAGAAAAGACAAAACACAGTAATCAACAGTTGTATGCACTTTGCACTGAAAAGATATGATTTCATTCTTTTGTATGGATGAGTAGACTTTTGTTGTATATATTTGCTACATTTTACGTATTCCTCAGCTGATGGATATCTGGGTTGAATCCATATCTTACCTATTGAGAACTGAGCTGCAATAGATACGGTGGTACCAAAAAAAAAAAAAAGTTCATTAGGAAACACAAAAAGACCACAAATACCCAGAGCTATCCTGAGAAATTAAAATCAAGCTGGAGGAATCACAATTCCAGAACTCAAGACAGAAACAGAGCAGTGGTCATCAAAATAGTGTGGTGCTGGTGAAGAAACAGAAGACATCTGTTGAAAAAGGAGTGGATAAAGAAAAGTATAGAACATCTACTCCATGGAATACTACTCAGACATTAAAAAGAAATAAATACTACCATTTGCAACAAATAATCTAATCCAAAAAGGACAAACATCATATATTCTTTCTGATATAAGGCAACTTTCATGCAAAATATAAGACCAATACCCCTTTCAATACTATTTTTGCTACATTTCAGGGGGGGTTAATTTTTTTTAATTAATTTCCTTGCTTATTCACAGGTCACACAATAGCACTGTTTGCTTCAGGAGGGTCTTTGACGTTTTCATTTCTTCATTTCTTCAATAACACATTGGTCATTCAGTAGCATGTTATTTAACTTCAAATTCTTGTAAATTTTCTATTATACTATCTTTTGTTGATTTTGTTTTATGGCTTTTCATTTAAGGGGATGTATAATAACTGTGTAGTAGAGACTATCACATACAGATGTGAAGATACAATACAATGTGCATCTCTGCTTACAAATCAAAGATGGACTCCCAATGAAATTGCTGAATGTATCCTGACAACAAGAATGCTTGACTGTCTGCCATTGTTCCTGCCTACAATGTCAAGCTACACTTAAACAGTAGAGTGCAGGGCCCTGCACAGTAGCATAGTGTCTCAAGTCCTCACTTTGCATGTACTGGGATCCCATATGGTTGTTCAGTCTAATCCTGGTGGCCTGTTTCCCATCCAGCTCCCTGCCTATGGCCTAGGAGAAGAATGAAAGACAGCTCAAAGCACTGGGACCCTGCACCCAAGTGAGAGATTGAAATAAGACATTCTGGCCATTGCGGCTGCTTGGCGAGTGAATCATAGGATGGAAGATGTTCTTCTCTGTCTCTGCCTATTTTTCTGCATCTGACTTTCCAACAAAAATAATTCTTAAAAAAAAACAGCAGAGTGTCGGACTTAAAAGTGATTGTTAAAGACGATACAATTGTAATGATATGGGGGAAACCAGTGGACACGGGTGGGGTTTTGGGGAAGGATGAAGGAAAATCCTGGAGCCCATGGAAATGCACCATGGAATAATAAAATAAATAAAGTTTTTAAAATGTATTGAAAAAAGTACTTTCAAAGACAAAAGTAATTAAGACTTACATGTGAAACAAATGTGATCTCACCAAACAGAATTTAAAATTACTGTGACTGATGTGTTAGAGTATCTCATGGGAAAGATAACAAATATGCATGCAATGTCAGGTGGGAAACTTCAACAGAGCTATTATAAGAAAAAATATAAATAGGGATATAAGAAATAAAAAGAACATCAAGAGGAATAATGCTTTTGATAAGAAAATCAGTAGAGTTGAGGGTGGGGTCAATACATAAAACACGTGGAGAAAAGTGACTGGGGAAAACACAAACTACAAAACATGGAACATGGTACAAAAAGCTGTGGGAGAGATATCAAGGATACGGCACACATACATTTGGGAATCCAAAAAAGCTACAAGATTGATTTGTAGGAAATTCTTAGTAATAAAATTAGCAAAAGACAAAAAAAAACCATACTCAAAATTGTCAGAAATTGCATCAGTCTCATCTGCAATTACTTTGCCAAACAGGTCAATAATATCTCCCACTACATCATGATCAGCTGTTGCTTTACTGCCACAAATCTTTTTTAAAAAAATGCAATCTTTAAAACAAAATGCTTAAACATTTGCAAGGCTTGGTGAATATTTATAGGTACTTTCAAGTTTAAGCTAATTGTGAAATATTTTTTGTTTCATCATTAGCACAAAATTAAGTGGCAAACATTCACTGCAATGTTGATGGATCTCTTTGATTACCTTCATTTTTAGGGGTTGACACTGTGGTCCAACAGGCTAATTATTCACTTTCAAGTGCCAGAATCCCAAAGGAGTGCTGGTTCATGTCCCGGATGCTCTACATCCAATCCAACTCCCTGCTTATGGCCTAGGAGAGCAACAGATTATAGCCCAAGGTCTTGGGCCCCTGAACCTTTGTGGGAGACCTGGAAGAAGCTCCTAGCTCCTGGCTTCCAAATGGCTCAGTTCCAACACTGCAGTTATTTGAGGAATGAACCAGGGAATGGAAGATCTTTCTCTCTGCTCTTCCTTCTCTCTGTAAATCTAATTTTCTTCTGTATAATAGACTAACATGCCAGGAAACAAAGATATGTTACACTATACATGTCTACTTCTGAATAGAAGGAGACCACCCAATGAAACTGTTAAATGTATTTTGACAACAGGATACTAGACATTTGCCGTAGTCTATACCTACACTGTCGTGACACACTTAAATAGCCGAATGTTGGACTTGTGACAGTTGTTGAAGCACTACTGCAATAATAGGGAGGGAAATAGTTGGGGAGGGAATGAGGTAGTGGAAGCAATGGTATGAAATGTCTGTGCCTATGGAATCAATCATGAGAAATTATAACAAAGAAAAGGGAAAAGAAAAAAAATCCTCCTTTTTAATTTAGTCAGCTTTTTAATATCTTTAATTAGCTTCTTTCATTACATTCAGCAAGGATTTTAACAGTTTATTCTGTTTCTTCAAGTCCTATGCAACAGCACACTCCTCTAATACTACACAGGCCTGTCTTCCAACACCTTATGTTCCTTTGCTATAAACATAAATGATTCATTTTTCCTGTAACTGTTAAAGTTATGAGTGCCTGTGTCTTCTCACATTTCAACAACTTTATATTATGGAGCAGAGAATAAGCCAAAACAGCACTGAGCAATTTCTGTAGTTCTTGACCCCATATGTGGTACCACAAGAAACCTGATGCCCATGTCCCCAGCCATTTTGTTACCCTTTGTGCTAGTGTGTGGGAAACTAGGCCCAAGAGAGGAAGATACATTACAATTCAGTGGGACTGGGAGGATGCTTTCCATGACATTTCTTCTTATACTCCATGTTGTGTGCCTATGAGTTTACTGCATTTCTTCATATAATATATCAGGTGTGAAATTTTCCACGTGTGACATTCTGTTGACATTTATCAAGATTCAGCACTAAGAACAAGGAATTTTAGATTTTCACGTTTAGAATGTTCAATCTGTAGTTTTCCATTGTTATAATAATAAATTTATTAACAAAATTAGCTTTTCAAAACAACACACATTTATTATCACAGTTCTGTATGTAGGTTGGGGCACCATTTAAGTGCCTAATCAAAGGACCAGACTAGTCAAGCTTCCTTTCTGGAAGCTTTAGGAAAGAATCAATTTTCTTGGCACTCAAAGCTTACAGAAACTCCCTGGTATTTTGGTTCCTGAAACCTCTTACCCTATCTTAAAGGACAGCAACATCAGATCAAACAGATTTTACATAACCTTCTGATGCTTTTTCCTTTTTGAGTTGTTAGGACTCAAGTGATCAGCCTAACCTGGGACAATGCTAGTTACCTCCTAGTAAGTTGATTAAGCTTTACATCTGCAACACCCCTCGCCCCTTTATAAAGGGTTTATTTATTTTTATTGGAATGACAGATTGGATTTACGGAGAAAAGCTGACACACAGAAAAATCTTGTATCATGCTTCACTCCCTAAATGACCATAATGGCCAGTGCTGAGCCAATCCAAAGCCACAAGCCAGGAGCTTCTGGGTTTCCCACCCAAGTGCAGGGTTCCAAGGCTTTGGGACATACTCTACTGCTTTCCCAGGATACAAGCAGGGAGCTGGATGAGAAGTGGAACAGTCAGAACATGAACAGGCTTCCCTATAGGATCCTAATGCTGGCAGGTAGAAGATTAAGCAACTGAGCCACCGTGTTAAGCCCCTAGTTCTCTTGCAGTGTAAGACTGACAGATTCTGGGGACTAGGATGTGTACCTCTTAATGATATAATAGTCTTATATTCCTACTGAGTTTTTGGAAAAATGTATCTATCTGATATCTTTAGAATTGAAGGGTATTGGCATAAAGGATAGGATATACACTTATCTAATCTTTAAAGATTTGAAAACGAAACAACATATTCATAATAAGCTATTATAATGTACCTGACGCATAATATAAAACTGGATTTCATACCCAATATCATTATTTTAAAAAGCCAGACATTTAAGATTCATATACATAACAGATCTAAATATAAAAGCACAAAACCAATCAACTTTAACGCAATAAAATATTATTACTATTTCATATAGCATCTCAATATAAGAAAAAAGACCATAAATTCAAAGAAATATGACTATTAAGCAAAGTTAAAACATACTCAACCATAAAATAATTTAAGCAATCTCCACTTCAAAAAATGTCAGCTCACTAGCTACATTATTAAAATATGTTCTGGGTATTTTTACCAAATATAGTTTTCCTACTCATAAGCATAATTCAATGTTTAACAAAGTAAGAAAAATGTCTGTTTAGAGTGATTGTAATATTATAATCAGGTGTTTTATTGAGTAAAAAAATCTACCAAATTGTAAAATACTTGCCTCAAAAACGAAATGAAAAATGTTTAATATACAAATAATTGTGTTATTGCCAGTGTTTAACAATAGCTAGTCCTCATACACATTATATAGTAGTAAAACTGTATATAGGGGAAACGGTATTTGTAAAACAGTAGACACAAATTAAATTTGAACTAAATTTCTTCTCTACTCACTATCAAACTTAATATATGTTGTGAAACATATGTATTAATATCTAACTTTATATATACCATATCCCTATTTATAAACTATATACATACTGGCTCCTGGCTTTGGATCAGCTCAGCTCTGGCCATTGTTGCCATTTGAGGAGTAAAGCAGTGGATGGAAGATGTTTCTCTCTGCCTCTCCTTTTCTCTGTAAATCTACCATTCCTAAATAAATGAATAAATAAATCAATAAATGTCAGATACATTGTATCTAAGGCTGTGTGCAAGATAGGGCTTAATAAGACAAATAAGATGAAACCTCTGGACTCCAGGTATATTTCCCTCCCTGAATTGGTCATACTAAAGCAAGAATATACTTTCAAGAAACATATATAGCTGTATACTTAAAGTAGAAAGATTATATCATACACAAATAATTTAATAAATTAAGAAATTAGGATACTAGTAAAAATGTTTTCAAATATGTTCCAACATTTAAACAAAATACAGTAAAGGTATAATTCAAAGATGTTTAAGGACCCATACACGTATTAATTTAGAAACAATTTTAACAATCTAACAATTAGTAATTTAATATTCTTCACAAAGCTACACCAAGAATACTGCTTATATACTTACACATATACCTATATACACATACACAAAAATAAATAATTACCAATAGAAGCTGAACGCATTTGCCTCATGTGAGTTTCTATGACAGAAGGGTCTCGAGAGCTATAACTTCCCAACTCAGGATAAAAGCTGGAACCAATGTCATCTGGAGGGCTGTGTCTTCCTTGAGGATAATTCTTGGCTATTCTAGGGTCCCAGTGTTCTAAAATTGGATGATTCCAATGTATATATTTACCATCAAATTGTGGATTTCCATACCAACTGTAATAAAATGCATGTAAATAATAATTCAGAGGTGGTAGTTCATCCAGGTTAAGTTCAGAGGCTTTGGAAGGTTTGACAGTGGTTTCAGCATTTTTTGAATTCTTGGTATTTACTTCATCATTGATTCTATTAATTTTTTGGTAATCAAAACTTTTTCTCGAATGAATAGTTCGTTGATGAAGTTCTGGAAGAAGGTCTAGTCCGAAAGGTGCTCCAAAACCAGCTGTATTTGGTCTCAGCATTTTTAAACCCATCATCACAGAGAAAATAAATAGAATAAAAAGTGACAAAATGATGCAAGTCCTTCTCCGAAACTTTGCCATGATGACATACTTTCAAGTCCAAAATAGTGTTCTACTGCAATTTATTGGAAAAAAAAAAAAAGATGTCATTACATTAATATTTTCCAATGCATTAAAACAAAAATTAAAATCCATACTTTATCACCTTAAATTAAGAAAATACAATATATCAATTACAGCTTTAAATATTGATATTTGTAAGATAATTACTCATTTGGATAAAATTGTTAGGAGCCACAGACTTACGGGCCTTAGACTTGGCCAACCTGACAGCCTGCTGCATTGCAAAGCCTGCCTTGGGCAAGCAGGGCCACAGCAAGCAGGATATTAGGCCAGAACATCCTGTGTAAAACAAGCAGAATAGAACCTCCACCCTTGTTCCTGTTCAAATAATTAGTTCCTCCCCTGTTTCAATACAGATGATTAGTTCTTCCTGTTTCAATATAGATGATTAGTTCCTTCCCTGCTTCAATGAAGATAATTACTTCCAGGAAACCCCTCCCCTCTCCCTCCTCCCCTAGAGAAGAAGGTATATATGAGGAGTAAAATAAAGAGCAGGAGGTACTCTTTTCCACCAAGTACGTGTGTCTGTGTGTTTCTTGGGCCAGCAGCCCAGGGACTAGCAGCCGGGCATTCCCAGTCCACCCTCAGGGTTTGAGCGTGGTGTCCTGCAGGTCGGGACACGAAATGATAACACTTATTGAGAAATATCACTACTGGGGCCAGTGCAGTGGCTCAAATGGACAATCCTACACCTGCAGACCCAGCATCCCATATGGGCACTGGTTCTGGCCCCAGCTGCTCCACTTCCCATCTAGTTCCTTGTTTATGGCATGGGCAAGCAGCAGGGGATGGCACCAGTGCTTGAACCCTGGCATCGGCATCCATGTGCAGAGAACTAGAGGAGTTCCTGTGTTCAGACTGGTTAAACTCTGGCTTTGAGGCCACTTGGGGAGTGAAACAGTAGATGAAAGATCTCTCCTTGCTTCTCCTTCTCTGTAAATCTGCCATTTAATTAACCTTAAAAAAAAATCACTATTACATTTTGTCAAATAAGCCTTTTGATAGTTTAAGACACATAATACAATTTCAGATTTTTACAATTGTTACAATATGAATGAATAAACAAATAGAATAGTTTATGCATACAGAGCTAGAATATGCGCAGCCCAAGAATAAAATTGAATTAAAAAAAATCACAGTTGTGTGTCTCAGGACGGGGCATCTCATGCCTGGATCCCAGACGACAGCCACCATGTGCATGTGGTGAGCTGTTCCTGGGCCTGCCTGGGCTCCAGAGGCTGCTCCCTTCCAGGTGAGTAGACCGAGGGGGGAGGCCTCTATGACTGGGCAGGTCCCGGACCCACCTGCCACCTTCATTGGGCAGTGAATGGGATTGGGGAGGGGCGCGACCTTGGGCCTGGGAGATTAAACTTCCAGCAGCCTCCTGGCTGCTGGTGGGTCTCAGGACAGGGCATCTCATGCCTGGATCCCAGATGACAGCCACCATGTGCATGTGGTGAGCTGTTCCCGGGCAGCCAGTGCACCATTTGGTGCCAGGCTCCACCTGCTGGCCGCCCAGCTGGGGAGCTCTGGGGTTTTGGTTCTTTGAGTCACTGCTTAGTTAGCTCCAGGTTGAACCCATTGTGCTTCTAGGACCTGAAACATTCGTAAAGATTCCCACTGGCAGTAACTCTTCCTTTGTAAAACTTGTAATCACTGAACAATGCTGACCACCAAATACCAGTCCATGCAGAAGCTATGGCTTGGGGCTTGTCCTGCAAAAGTAGCTCCAACAGCTGGCTAATGTGTCAACTGGTATTTGAACAGAGTAGATCAGGCAGGACTGAGCAAACCCTAGCTCACAAGTAAAACTAGAAACCAGGAGGGAGCACAGGTCATGCCGAGCTAGGCTCTTGCACCTACTGGCCCACATGAGCCAGGGACACTAAACCACAGTGTCTAAGGCAGAGGTTGGGACAGGTGAAACATCCAACAACAAATACCAGATTGGGTTGAAGGCCTGTCAGGAAAAGCCCAGTTCCTGCTATGACAGGAGGTGAACTGAGTAGGGCTGGCTCATGGACCCACTGGTAAGCGTGAAACCTGGCACTGGGAGAGGTTCTGATGGAGGAGCCTGGGCAACTCCTCTGGCAGGACACAGACTCAGCAGGTAAGAGCAAGAAACATGATAGGAAACAGCCCAGAACAGGCCATGGAAAGTTTCCCACTGGCATACAATTGGCAGGGGTTGGGGGAAGACCAGGCTGGATCTGTCCATGTCATCCATTGGCAAATCCAAGCACCAGTGTGGGTCGAGCCAGGTTCAATCGCAGCAATGACTAGTACACAATATGGAATGCCGAGGTGAGGTTGCCTGTACTGGAAGGGACCGCAGCGCCCAACCAGCGTGAGAACAAGGAAGGAAGGGGGCAGAGCTGGCAGGGAGAATAAAGGAGGGTTCCTTTGCAGGACAGCTATTCCCGCAGGAGTAGGCTGGGATGGGGACAGACCAGGCTAGGCAGAGCTACCACACCTGTGTGCCTCATGTGGACTAGATCAGGGAAAAGCCAGGCTGGGTTGATTATTCCTACTGGTGCAAACAAAATTAGAGTGGGCAAGGGTTGTTTGGGCTTAGCCACAGCATCAGCTGGAATCTGGGAGTGGGCAAGGCCTGGGAGGGAAATAGTGGGCTCATCCCTCTTGGGTTACCACTTCCACAGGAGGACATAAAACTAAGACAGCGGCTGGGGTGGAATGGGGTGTGGGACAGACCAGATTACTGCAACACATACTGGCAAACCAGGGTAGGGGGTGGGCCTGGTGGGGGTTATTGCAGGTCACTCCAACTAGGCTGCAGCTCCCACTGGTTTATGTGAGGGCCAAGTATGTGCTGGGCAGAACCAGGCTGGACTGCAACACCCATTGGTTCCAGTGGAAGTTGGGAGTGAAAACAGAACCAACCCAGCAATTGCAACCACCAGCTGATCAGGGCGATGGACTGTGCCGGGCCCTGTACTTGCTAGCACATACAAGAAGTATCTTTGGAGATCTTCCTAATCAAAATGCTGGACTCAGAACCCTAACCAAGAAGAGAGAAGACAGAACAGGTCAACCAACCATCTCAGCTATGATGGACTATGTCAATCAGTGGATTTTTCAAAGACCTCATAGTGCTTGGAGTGGCAAGATTGGCAGCGATTCATAACTGTTGAAACATCAAAACCACTTGAGCAAGAACCTCAGAGCATGCCCTACATCAGGGGCCTGGGGAGGGTGGGAAATTGGGTGGGCCTTCTCCCTTAATACCCCCCTTTAAACATGAAGGAAACACTATGGAAAAAATACTAGTCTTATTCATTTCATTTTAGCCCTTGAACCTTTTTACTCTAATTAACTATGTAAAGATTGTCTAAATAAATAAATAAATAAATAAATAAAACAAAAAAAATCACAGTTAATGAAAGAAAACACTAGTGGCAGGCACTGATACAATGGTTAGATTTCCCCACATCAAAATGCCTAGGTCTAAGTCTTTCCTATGGTTTGATTTTATGTTTTTGCTAATGTTGTATACAGTCACAAGTAGAAGGTTGTGTCTTAGGTAGCTGGGGCCCTGCTTCCTATGAGACTGAGATTAGGTTCCAGGCCCCAAGCCTTGCCTCACCTAATTGTTGTTGTTGCCAAACATTTAGTGAGAGAACCAACTGATGAAAGATGCTGACCAGCAGGTTCCTTCACCTTTCAAAATAAATAAATAAACCTTTTTAAATATGAAGAAATACTTAGGGGTATATTTAAAACTCTCAAGTAAAATAACAATTTCTTAAGAAGGGAATGATTTAACTTTTTTAAATAGCAAAGAATCAGAAAAAAACTGAAAAATAATTAAAAAATAGAAAATCGCAAGTAAAATAGTTTCAGTCTGCTTTTAGTTATTCACTTTTATTCATGACTTTTATTGATGAGACTGATTATATAAAATCCATCATACCATTGTACCATTGTGAATTTAGACATAAGAGTTTGCTTCATGAACTCCTTTTAGAACTTTCATTTTTAAAAAAATTATAAAATGTGTCTATGGAATTATTACAAATAATTTCTAACTTTGAAAACTTCACATAAATGTTACAAAAAATAACTTATAATTTGCAAAAAGTATTATAGATTCTTCAGTGTGTTTGGGAAAATACATCATTAATGCGCTCATATGCTATCATGAGTACATAAGTTATACAAATAAAACATTTAAGTATGTTTAGATACTAATTTTTATTAGGTATACAGTTGAAAGTTTTTTAGGCATAAAAATTAAAAAGTTGGCATAAACCATTTTATTAAATATGACCTTTTGTGGTATGTTATCACTATTCTGAAATGTTTACTCTTATGGCATTGTTATTTATTTCTTTTAGATTTGTCAGTGTTTGCTATACATACTTTGATATTATATCTGGTGTTTATATATTTTAAATTGCTGAAACAAGTAAATACTATTAATTTTATCCATTAGTTTTGGGTGAAAATATATTATCCTGAGTTTCTACAGGAAACAATAAAAGGACATTGACTGATGTAGATAACCTTTTGAAAAATCAATACTATCTAATCACAAGGAAAAATCAGAAAACATACAACACCCCGTAGTGCATGAAAGAGGCAGAGTATGTGTAAGTCAGATGGACTAAGCTGAAGCACCTGCTAGTAAGTATAGAGACTGGGTGCAAATCATCGTCTAAGATCGGACCACAGTACCCCTGTTTAAGGGCAATAACCAGGGCTGGGTGCCGGCCTGGTAGGGGAACCATGGGCACTTGTTTTCCAGGCTATAGCTCCTGCTGGTGTGCACAAAGCCGGGGCTGGGGGAGGGAGCAGGCTGGACAAGGCAGCAGCACCCTCCCACATTTGTCAGCTGGGTCTGGGGGTGGGACAGATTGAGCCAACCCATACTTCCTTTTAGTAGCGCCTGAAAGTTGGATGGGATGTGAGCCAGGCCAAGCTAGGCTGCACCATCTCCTGGTTTGCGTGACAGATGGACTGAGGGTGGAACTACTCAGGCAGCTGTATCAACCAATATGTATATTGGCTACAGTACCTGAAGGAACAAAATCGATCCTGCACTAACTGGTACACAGTAGTCAAGTCTGAGGTCACCTAAGGTGAGCTTAATAGAAACCTCCATGATTAGACTGCTAAACTCAAACCCTGGCCACAGGGAAATTGCAAGATCCAACTTGCAAGTGCACGTGTTGGGACTGGACCCCCTCAGTTTCTGATGCTTATGAGAGGACAGCATGTCCATATGCACATGAGGGGTGTGACAGCCAGCACATCTATGCCAGCATAGAATGTTGAGTGCTTAGTCAAAGGATGGAAAGCAGAACAGGCTGAACAACTCTCATAGCCAAGCTTTGCAGCAAGTGTCTGAGTGTGTGAATGTACTAAGTTAGACCTGGTCGGTCAACAGACCTTGGAAAGATTTTCTCAACCCCATGCAACAAAGCAGACAATATCTCAGAAGTATCCAAATTACTCAAGCAACTCCCAGGACATTCTTCCCCTCATCAGCATCTCTAAGGCATCATCAAATGGCTGTCCATCCACTGATGTTGATGCACTTCAACAAGGAGAGATGCCCTTCCATTCCCCAACTGCAGACATAGGAGCAAAAAAAAAAAAACAAAAGAATTCCAATATTTGTCCCACCCACCTTTCTCCATACTTTGATCCTCTCCACTATAATCAGAGGCCACATGGATGTGGATTCCTTTTTACTAGGTAAACAATATTAAAATTAAAAACTAAAAAGAAAAATAAGAACAAAAAAGTTTCTTTCTCAGGACATGAATTTTTTTCTTTCTTTTTATACCCCTCCCGCAAAGAGAACTGAACAGGATCGATTTCTCGGCTTCTTTTTACATCATTTAAAGGGTTTATTAGCACTTAACCGCAAGGATCCAAGGGTCCTATACCAAATTTTACCAATTAACAGTAAAATCAACCTGGCCTAAATAAAGGAAGAACGCTGTGATGAAAAGTATGGCTTTTCTCTCCATTACAACGACTTAAGTCCAACGATTTCAGTTTTGCTATGTTTCTGGGATTTTTTTTTGTCTTTTAAAATTATTTTTACTTAGTTAGTTAGTTATTTGACCACATCAAGCAACCCAATCCTTCTTCATTTCCATAAAATGAATCATCACCTCACCTCACTCTCGGGATTTTTTTGAGGGTAAAATGAGATAACATTCTCAAGATGGGTATCTAGTAGACAATCAAACACCACAGCGTTTATTCCTTATGGTTACTTACAAAACACAGTTCATTTGTTAAAGTCAAAGGGAAATAGCTGTGCCCCCCCTCCTGACAATTCTGATTATTGATAGAAGTACTCACTTTGACATATATTCTAGGGAACAGCAATATCGACTTTTAAATGGATACTTCTTACACATGTCATCATGTAACTTATTTATATACTTCATATTCCCTAGAAACACCTTTATCTTGATAGCCCCATAGAACCTAACATATCTATGCACAATCACTCATTTATAGCCAGTGATCATTACTGCTCAGTATAAGCAATTTGATCTCTGGCTCCTTTGATTTGGACCTTGGTATATATTTGGACAGTATGAATATAAACAAATTCTAATCTACTTGGCACAGTTAGTGTGAACATTAAGCTTATTAGGTGGAAAGAAGCAACATTCAATAACTCAAAAAAATCTATCACCTTCACCATTCATCGCAAAAGCATAACAACCCGTGTAATTCCCAAGTGTCTAGTGATTGTTTAGCTAAGAGTAGAGGAATTAATCATTGGCTTCAACAAAAGAAAAACATTGCAGGAGGCAACGAAGAGAAGTTAACTGCTGCAGATACATATATTCTCCTAACAGGAAACTACTCAAACACTAACTACTCAAAATCCATTCTCTTCAAGGGCAGTCCAATTTACTCGTAAATTAAACAAAATAAGGTGTGTCTTTTTTTATTATTACTATTTTTAGCCTTTTGAAATGCTAGTTGACTTTGAAATTTAGTGACTCCTAATAAAAATCTTTAGACTTATCCAGTTAAACCAGAGACAGAGATCCAGAGGTGTTGCAAAACCACCTATTTAAAAGCTATTTGTTACTATCGCGTAAGTCAGAGAACCCAAAATAACTGCACCTGTTAATTATCATCAATGAACGATGCACACTTTGTGCACTTTTTCGTCTTATTCTGTATAACGTCACTGGACATAAATAGAACCAAAACATTTGGAAATTTCAGAATGTTTCTGTATAAAGGTTCTCTTGCCCAAACCCGACCTTTTGGATAACAAAATTTAGTGAGACAAAACTGAAATATTCTTCTACTTAAGTCTCCACAACACCTACGAAGCAAAACTTTTAAACAGCATTTCACATGTGATGAAAATAAGCAGCTGGTCTAATTTCCCAGTCTCTTCTCTGCAAAAGGCAGAGAAGCCTGCCTGTCTGCTATGTTACCTTTCCACGCAGCATTACAGAGACCATAGTGCAGAATGTTGGTGATATGGTGGTCACCTTGCCCTGAAAGACTGTGGAATTGAAAAATGGACTTGAAAAAAGCTACCTTGTACCTACTCCTTCAACAGTAGCCCCGACAACCTGCAGTTCGTGTTCTGATCATACACGTACTATTCATCGCGGGCAAAGAGCAGTTCTGGAAGTGTCTTAGATATTCGGGCTGGAAGTCTGCAAAGTTGCAGCAACACATCAGCGCTTTTTTTTTTTGTTTGTTTTTTTCTGAGAAACAAATGGTCACAAAAATGATTTGCAAATGGTGTGATTTAATGTCACCAATACCTGATTCTGTGCTTTTTATTTTTTTCCCCCAAACTACTGCCTTAACACTCTGATGTGAATAGCTCATTCTAGTCTTATCTCAGTTGGTATGACTAAATGAGCAATACTTTTCTTGGATTTCAGCAATGCCACCTGCTCTGCTAACACGCATCCCTGCTTAGGGTCTTGCAACAACAATGAAAGGAACTGCTCTTTGTTTAGATAACACAAAATCAAAACACCAGTCCCTCATACTTGCACAGGAGTTTTTGTTTCGGACGCCCTTCACCCTAGCAGACCAGTGGAAGCCCTGTCTGCGCCGGGCCTCCAGCTTGCCTCCCCGGAACTCCGAGGCGCCTGGAGAGGGAAAGAGCGAGGGCGAGGGCGAGGGCCACCTGACGCCCCGCGGACCCCGGACCTGGCCCTTTCCTTCTCCCGGCGCAGCTCAGGAGCTGGGAAAGGCCTCCCCCGACCCGAAAGAGCCAGCTTCCCTGAGATGAGAAGACAGAACTGCACCAAAGGCGAGGCAGAGGGGCGGAAGCCGCGTCCGGACCAGGCAGCGTGAAAGGCCACGTGAAAGGCCGAACTACTAACCCAGATAAAACTTGCGGGGAGCAGCGATCGGAGCCCATAGAACGTGGGAACCACGCTCGCTCCTCACACGCTCCGTGCCCCGGCTCCAGGGGCGCAGGGGCAGAGGGCGGAGGGCAAAGGGCAGCAGCAGGAACCTGCCAGCGGATTGGCCGGCGGGCGCGCAAGCGCCGCGGCCGATGTCGTACCCGCCGTAACCGCATCTAGGGGGTCCCGAGTCCTGCAGCTACTCACCAAGCCGGGGAGGGAGTCCGGCGCAGAGCGGCCAGGAGGAACAGAGCTGAGGAGGCGAACCTGACAACGCCCCGCCGTCCGCCCCGTCGGCCCGGCCCTCCTGGGAGACGCGCCAAAGGTGTTCCGGGGCCGGGGCGGGGCGTGCGCCGGTGGGCGGGGCTGTGGGGCGGGGCCTGCGCCGATGGGCGCGACTCGGGGCGTGGTGTATGCCCGGGGCTGGGCTCCGGGTTGGCGGGGCTCCGGGTGGGCGGGGCGGAGTGTGCGCAGCAGGGGCGGGGCTCCGAGGACGGGGCGTGCAGAGGGCGGGGGCGGGGCGTGCGCCGTGGTCTGCAGACGCCGAGGTCAGAGTGCATAGGCCACAGGGTAGTGGTTAAAACTGACCCTGCTAGGACAGTGGACAGAGATGGCGGGTTTGGGACCCGCCCTGTGTCCATCACTAGAAGAATCCCTCACCGTCTCCTAGGCACTTTAAGATTCCGCTGGAAAGGTGTTTTTTTTGTTTTGTTTTCTGTGAAATTGTCAAAGTTGTTTTTCACTTGATTATACTTTTTAAGCCAAGGAGCAGATCTGCCTGTTTTGACAAAAATGGATCTTGGAAGAGCCTGGTAGATAAATATGGCTTTTAATATTTTCAGAGGTATAAAATCACTTGTATCCCAAAATATTTAGCAGCAGTGATTGACACAGGGTAGGTGTGCACAGCAGGGGCTCTCCTGATAGGGGTTGCAGCACTAGGCCCTCATGTTACATCACCCTGGGAAGCCAGGAGGATTCTGTGTTTTGTTTTGGTGACATAGTAACAGAGTCTGAAAGGCGAGAACTTGATGCAGGATGTACAGGGTGTTGTAAAGGCTCTCCTTAAAACTTGACTATGGTTTTTACTTCTAAAAACATTAAGAAGAAAACATTTTTGACACAGAAAAGCACAAATGATCACGTACTAGATACCCATTAATTCTGCATACAAGCGCTTTGAAAATCCTTTCTCCTGAGCTTTGCTTAAAGTTCCTTTCACTGTTCTTTACTCTTTCATGCAGGCTTAAGGTAAGCCATACATGATCCATAAAACATCTCCACTTGGGTTTTGATTGGACTTTTTAATAAATGTGAAAGTAAAATGCATTGATTAGGGAATGCATTCCTGTGTATAAACATGTGTGTTTACCTATTAATTAAAATCTTTCATGCTCTATGTCTTGTTTCTTTTTTTTAAGGTTTAATCATCTTTCATATGTACTGATACCTTAGTGCTAAAATTGAAGATATCTTTCTTTAAATTACATCTTGCAATTGGTTCTTCATGTATTAAGAGCACCAGTTTGAGCATATTTGTCTCACAGTGAGAAGCTCTAGTAAATTGTTTGATATTTTTGTTAAATTCAAGAATATTCTTTATATGCAATCATATCATTGTAAATAAAAATGCTCATTCCCTTCTTTTCCACTTTTTAAGTCATTTACATTTTTCATCATTATCAGCTAGACCTTCAGTACAATGTTTATTGCATGTAATGATAGAAATTTTAAGCATGACGTTGCTGCAGTATGCTCAAGCTGTTTACAGGGACATACAGTGATTTTTATGGAGTTTGGATATCCACTTTTTAAAGATTTTCTAGTTCCTACGTGTTCATTTATTTTATTGGAAAGGCAGACTTATAAAAAGAAGGAAAGACAGAAAAATCGTACATCTACTGAGTCATTTCCCAAACATCTACAACAATTGAAGCTGAGCTGATCTGAAGCCAGGAGACAGGACTTCTTCCAAGTCTCCCAGGCAGGTGTGGAATCCCAAAGTTTTGGACCATCCTCGACTGCTTTCCCAGGCCGCAAGCAGGGAGCTGGATGGGACCCAGGGCATCCAAGATGTGCACCAGCACCCAAATCTGATGGTGACTCTCTCAGTCAGAAGATTAGCCAGTTGAGCACTCATGACAGTGCTATGCTTTCTTACACCTCAAGTGACTGTTTAATTAATCCAATACTTCTGAATTTACTGAAATAATCCTTGCTTTTATGATGTTATACTCATGGGGATTATTAAAAAAAACTTTTTGAAGTTGAATGGGGGAGTTATTTTTAATCATTTAGGTACTGGATCATTGAAGCAAACATTTGACATGGCAGTTAAGACACTACTCAGAAATGCATTGATCTTGTGAGACAGAATAAACCCAATCCCTTTTGCATTTTTCCATTCTCAGTCAATTTCAGTACCATTACCACCCTGATACAACAAGAAATGAAATGCACTGTTCTTATGAGACAAAATAAATCCTAATTATTGGTGATTTGATGACTGTCTCTTTTTAGACATCATTCAATATAAATGACCCATGCATGCTATTTGTGGTAATTAATTTCATTTAACTAGAATTCTACGTATACATCTTAAAGTATCTGTGTTGTCTGTGTAATTTTTTTAAATTTTTTATTTTTTTTTAAAGATTTATTTTTATTATTATTTTTTTTTTATTGGAAAGGCGGATATACAGAGAGGAGAGACAGAGAGGAAGATCCTCCATCTGATGATTCACTCCCCAAGTGAGCGCAATGGCCGATACTATGCCGATCTGAAGCCAGGAGCCTCTTCTGGGTCTCCCACGCGGGTGCAGGGTCCCAAAGCCTTGGGCTGTCCTCGACTGCTTTCCCGGGCCACAGGCAGGGAGCTGGAAGGGAAGCAGGGCTGCCGGGAATAGAACCGGCGCCCATATGGGATCCTGGGCATGCAAGGCGAGGACCTTAACCACTGCGCCACCGTGCTGGGCCCCCAATTTTTTCTTAATAAACTTATTGCTTTCCTTCTACATCCCTAGAACGTGAAGGGAATTATTTCATAGTGATTATCTTACATGTAATATAGTAAATATTCTAATGAAACTTTGAATCACAATGGATAAATTAGAGAAATTAAGCCACAACCTGTGACACTGTTATCTTACATGGGCACTGGTTCAAGCCCCAGTTGCTCTACTTCCAATCCAGTTTCCTCCTCTTGCACCTGGGAGAGGAATAGATGGGACTGAATACCCAGATTGAATTCCTGGCTTTGGCCTGCCCAGTTCTGACCATTATGGCCATTGGGGAGGAAACTGTATTGAAGATCTCTCTCTCTCTTTTTTTTTTTTTTTCTTTTCTGCTTTTTATAAAAAATGAATAAAACACATTTTTAAAAAATGCAAAACCTCAATATATTGCAAGTATGCAAAGGCTACAATTACTTCTAAGTATGATATTTTATCTCTTGTATAGACTTAAAATGAATTCTCTGAATAAAAGTAGAGTGGATTTTACTATGCTTGTACATACCAATTTGCAACATCTTTGAAATAAGAAAAAATCAATTCCCAAACAAAAATCCTGTTATCATTACAGTATGCTCCAATGGACATGATATGTCCATTGTATATGATTGTTTTACTAGCCGTCAATTATTTTGTTTGTTCAATCCCAATTAACATTTATGGAACACAGTGCTACTTTGTTTTGTTAGTTAACATTGTGCATGTTTTTGGTAGGTATATTTATGGTATCCCTTGAGTTTGGGAAGAAAAACTGTGACTCCAAGAAGTCTCCTGAATGGTACACTGAAGCTTCCACATCTAGATAGTGCAATTAGAGATATAAACATTCATTGTTTCACCTATTGCTGTCACCCTTTAACTAACCACACAAAGAGAGCCTTGGCACCTACAGAATCCTGACAACAAGGAATCCAGTCTTACTCCATCCAGTAAAATCATGAACTATGTCACAGGTCAAATGATAGGCAGACGTTGGCAGGCCGTCAATGAGATGCTATAGCTCTGTAAATTCACTGATGAAAACTCTCCCTCTCTCTCTCTCTTTCTCTCTCTCTCTCCATTTCAATTCCATAAATAAATGAATATTTTCAAAATATTTGTTATTTACATCTTTTATATCTCCACATAATGATAAGCACTTTGAGTGCAAATGCAGAAATTTTCAGATTCATGTTTTTGCCTGCAACACTAAGTACATCATAGATGCTTATATTTGGAAGAAAACTGACTGGTAAAGATTTCAAGGTGTTAATCCACTGAACTTCTGAATGTTACTTTATATGGAAAAAGGAACTTGACAGATGTGATTACGATTATTATGGTATTCCCAAACACACAAACAAACAAACGAAAAACAAAGTACAGGGAAATTAGGATTAACCACCAAATCGCTGAAACCCAGTGCCATATTGCTGACTTTCAGACTAGATGAGGAACATTAAGTAAAGGAAGATACACTAGCTCTGGAAATGGAAAAAGTCAACAGAAATACTCTTGAGCTTCCTAAGAGAGACTGTAACATTTTAATTTCAGCCCAAGTAAAATGACTCAGACTTTTTATATCCAATACTACAAGAGAATAAGTGAAAGCTCTTTAAGTTACATTGTTGTAGTTCATTCTAGCAACCATACTAACTGCTTATAAGATTCGTCGAGTAATTATTCAGTGATGAAATGAACAGTTGAGGTTAAACAAATATTACATTAGTTAGGATATGCTTAGGCTGACCTATTTTTTTTTTAATGTAGAAAAATATAGATATCTCCTTGGTCGTAGACTTACAAGATTATTTGAGTGTAAGAAAAACATACTTTAACTAGATCTAGAGTTAAAAGCTAATTAGATTTTTCTTCATTAGGTTTTAGTTATTGTTTTTGATTCATTGAGATTGTTATGTTGATTTCAAGGTAACTGGTTTCACTTAATCACTGATTTACCCAGTTGGGAGTCAGTGGCTATTGTAAGGATACGTTCGTATATGTGAAATCTCTATCTTACAGAAACTCACCAGGAGATACGGAGAAACACATTGCTGAATTTACAGTACGCAGTTACATTTATTGGAATTATTTCAGTATTATTTACTTATGTCTGAATCTCAAGAAGTTTTGAATGCCCCTAAGTCTGTTCTTTATTCATCTGTTTATTTTAATGCTACTTTGTAACAATGCATTTCAAATGGAAAGTCTTCAGAAATATGTAATTGAACACATCTACTGGAAAAAGTTTTATCATTTACTGACTCAAATAAGTGATAATATATAATGAGTGTTTGTGTGTATGTGTATGTATATAAATATATAAAGTATATAAATAAATATATA